CGAAAAAATAGCGAGAGACTCCCCTGTCGTGATCTTTTTGTGGCCAGAAGGGGGTCTGGGCTCCGAGTGCGGGTGGGAGGAGGAGGAGGAGGAAGAGGAGGAGGAAGAGGAGGAGGAGGCGGAGGAGGAGGAGGAGGAGGAGGAGGAGGACAGGAGGAGGAGGAGGAGGAGGAGGAGGAAGGAGGAGGAGGAGGAGGAGGAGGAGGAGGAGGAGGAGGAGGAGGAGGAGGAGGAGGAGGAGGAGGGGGGGAGGAAGCAGGCCCCTGGGGCCAGCACGCTTCGGGATCGCCTTCCCCCCGGCGAGGGCGCGGAGCTGCCCGCGGCGGCGGCCTCGGCCGCGCGGCTGCCCGAGGAGGCGGGCAGCGGAGGCGTCGCCGCGCTGCGCGTCCGCGGCTGCGCGCACTTCGAGACCGCCCAGGCCGTGCACGGCGACTACGAGGTCTGCGGCCGGAACCACGGCAGGCCAGCCTTTCGGATCGGGGAGCCGAACGCCCCAGACTCCTTCCCAGAGGTCCAACGCAATTTTCGGCCCCTAGGGGCCCTCACTGGGCCCGGGGACTGTTAAAAAGCAACTCAGGATGAAACGCCGGTCCTGGGGAATGGGGAGGAGGAGGAGGAGGAGCTCCCTGGAGGAGGAGGAGGAGGAGGAGGTTCGCTCCCGTATGGAAAGGAGGAGGACGGAGGAGGAGGAGAAGCCATCCCTCCTCCCGTCGACCTCACGTCGACCAGCACCCGGGACTCAGACCAATGACTTAATCTCGCCCAACCCGCGCCGACACCGACACCAAGGACTAAGGATTTTCTTTTCCTCCTCCTCCCCCTCTCCTCCTAACTTTTTACATGTCTCGCATTGCATAAATCCAGACACCTCAGATCCTAGAGGCCATGGCCTCACCCACCTGGTCTGCCCTAGGCCCGGACGCTGTCCGCAACGGTGGTCGCATCGCATCGCATCCTCCTCCTCCTGCTCCCTCTCCCACCTAAAGCAGTGGTCTCCCCAGACCCCCTCGAGTCATGAAAAAAATGCGACGGGAGGTTTTTGCTTATTTTCGGCCTCGGGGGGTCCCTACCGTGCCTCGGGAGCGTCAAAAAACGACTCGGGATGAAAAACCGGTCTGGGGAAGGGGTCCAGACGTCTGGGGGTCGACGTTATGAAAAAACATGACCCTGAGATCTTGGCCTCTCAATTTTTTCGAGCTGGGCGTTCTCGTTTTTTCTAGGGCCCTGGGTCCCTCACATATCGATCTGCCTCGAGAAATGATGCTGAATTTTTGGGTGTAGGGTTCCAGGCGCGCTTTTTCACGGCGTCTCATTTTTTTTGAGACGTCGGATCTCAGGGGACGTCGGGGGTCTGGGTATCCAGGCGTATCAATTTTCTGGAGCTGCAGTCGCTTGTAGGATTAAGTCGGGCACGTCCCTCTACAGGAGGATGCTCAAACATAGTTAATATACAGTATGGGCAAGCTTTTTCAGCATTTGTTGACACTTGGTGTCATATCTTTTGGCTATGCTTCATGTTGCTTTCAAAATCAGCCTGTAGGAGACACGCCCGACCTGATTGGGGCGGGGGTCCGACCAGGGTTCGACCGGGGTGAGGGGACTTTCTAAAATGGCTCCGGGCTCCGAGCCCCAGGGGTGCCCTCCCCCCCAAGAACCAGGGGGCAACCCTCCCCCCCCCCGCGGGGCGGGGCCAAGCAGGGGAAGGGGGCCCTCCCTTCCGCCTTTCGCTGGGATCCCGAGGGCTGACGGCGACGACGACGACGACAAGGCCGACGACGACGACGACGACGACAACGACGGGGGCCAGCAAGCGCGCACGACGGCGGCGACGATGGCGACGGGGCTGGCACGCGCAAACGAGGTTCACGACGCTGGCGTCGACGACGGCGACATGGACGCGAGGGCGACGACAACGACGATGACGATGACGACGACGACGACGACGACGACGACGGGTTTCATTTTATGTCCCAGCTGCCAGTCCTGCGTGTTCGGCTGTCGTGTTACACTTTCCCATGCCATATTCCCAACACACTGTGGAGTCTGCATTCACTGTTCCGCCCGCCCGACATGGACGTGTCATTTTTGAATGAATGGTTCCTCTCATGTTCCGCCCGCCCGAGCGGCGTCCTTCGGGGAGTACAGTGCCGTTTTTTAATACATGCTCCGCGTGCGGATCATGTGTTAAACATGTAGGGCTGTAGTATCAAAAACAACGATGTGTTCATGCATACATTCATTCATACATTAAGCGTGTATTCAAAATCTTATATGTTTAAACATCCGATGTGTTAAACAATGCCCTCTAATGTTCCGCCCGCCCGAGCGGCGTCCTTCGGGGGGTACGAGCGATTTTCTCTTAACCTCCTCGCTTCACGCAGTGAAGGTTACATACAGTGCTCCGCCCGCCCAGTCTCGACGCCCCGTCGCTGAGTTCAAGAGGGAAAAAACACACAGACACAACTAATCGTCGACTCCCAGGAACACATGGGAAAATATGGGAAATGTGGGGGAAGACAAAAACCCAGAAACTATGGGAAAACATGGGGGGCCCTTTTATTTGTGTGTATTTATTTGTGTGTGTCCCAGGGCCCCTTCATGAGTACAGGTTTCATTGAATGTTCCGCCCGCCCGACTTGTGTCGTTGGCGGTCGTGGTGCATTGTCCTTTGGCCTTCTCCTAACAGAGCGAAGGTTGCCTTTGGTGTCCCGCCCGACCGACCCATCCCTGAACAAATGATTCCTTCAATATCCCCTTCGCCTGACTGGCGTCGTCGGCGTTTGTGAGCGAGTTGCCTTTCACTCTCGCATGTCACACAGTGAAGGTTGCATATCATGCCCCGCCCGCCCAATGTGTACGCCCCATCACTGACTACACGCTTCATTTGATGTGCTGCCTGCCCGGCAGGCGCCTGTGGCGGTCGTGATACGTTTTCTCCCCATCTTCTCCCAATGCAGAGTGAAGATTGTATTTCATGTTTAATTTGCTCGATATGGAAGCTTGTAATTTCCCGCTAGCCCGACCAGCGTGTGCGGCGGTCGTGATCCATTTCCCTGAAACTCATCATCTCACACAGCGACGGTTGCATACAATGTCCCGCCCGCCCAATTTGGATACCTCATTACTGACTACAGGTTTCATTTCATGTTCCGCCCGCCCGAGTTGTGTGTTTGGCGTCTGTGATATTTTTCCCATGGCCCTCTCCCAACACAGAGGAAAGGTTGCATTTTCTGTCCCGCCCGCCCGACCGAACACCAGCTTGTCGCCGTCGCCGTCGCCGTCGTCGTTGTCGTCGTCGTGGTCGTGGTTGTCGTCGTCGTCGTCGTCGTCGTCGTCGTCGTCGTCGTCGTCGTCGTCGTCGTCGTCATTGTCGTCGCCGTCTCCGTCGCCGTTTGTCGCCGTCGCCGTCGTCCTCGTCGTCGTCGTGGTCGTGGTGGTCGTCGTCGTCGTCATCGGCCTTCGGGGTCCCAGCGAGAGCAGAAAAGAGAGAGGGGGGGGCCTGGCAGTCCCCCCCTTATTGCCCCCCCCCGCCCCCCGCCTTGCATGGCTCTCGTCTCGTCTGGCCCTGCATTGGGCACTTTCGACTCACCAAATGCCATCGTCAGTGTTACTGCTGCTCCGCCTTCTGGACGTCGTCGTCGTCGTCGAGGGGTACACTGAGCTATGAAGTGCAACAGTCGGTGGGCCTTGGCTGGGGGCATGGGCGGAGGGTGGTGGAGGCTGCTGTCTACAGGGATCTTGAGTCTCGACCTCAGGATGGTTTTGCAAGAAACGGAGAGTCGGAGGGGCAGCCGGCGCCGCCTTCGAGACTGACTCTTCTTCCTCACCCGGACGGGCGAGTGATGGTTTTCCTCAGGCCGTTCCATCTTGAGCCATGAACCAGCACCGTCAAATCAATGTCATGGGCGCGGGGTTGGTGTTGCCACCCGCCCCGCGCTCACAAGAAACCCTGATTTGACAGACCCCCGACGACATGCTATGCCTGCTATGCCTCACGCGCCGCGCTGCGCTACCCTATGTCACAGCTTCCGCATGCAAGCTGTCCTGCCAGAATGGCCGAAATTATGGCCTGCGTCGTTCTCCCAAGCACTGGTGGAAACGCGCCGCGCTGCACTATGCCCACACCGCGCAGCACGGCACCGCGCATGTGCATGCTGCTGGAGAGGGCTATTTTGGGTGTACCGGCCTATCCGTGCACTCTGGCTGTTTTTGTTGGGTTGCTTGGGCCTACGGCCAGGTTAACGTCACCGCGCTGTCTGGGGAACTATAGTTCAAACATTCCGTCGGTAGCTCCCCCGATTCACGCCCGGGGTGGGGGAGGCAGGGCACCCCTCGGTTCTCAGGACCCCCCCCCGGGAGGGAGGGAGCCCTCAGTTCTCGCCTCCCCCCCGGGGGGGAAGTTGTGGGGTGCCCCCCCCCCCGCTCCCCTGGTTTCCAGGAGAGGGGGGGCGGGCTATTGCTTCAAGCCAAGAGCCCGTGAAACGCGCTCTCTCTTTTTTTTTCTTTTTTTTTTTTCTCTCTCTCTCTCTCTCTCTCTCTCCCTCTCTCTCTCCCTCTCTCTCTTTTGTTTTCTCTCTCTCTCTCTCTCTCCCTCTCTTTCTCACGAAGTCTAATTTTTGTTCGCGCCGTCGGATCCCAGGGGGCAGTGACTCGCAGCCGTGGCCCCTGGGGGGGCCCCACCAGAGTGCGGGTGGAGGAGAGGCCGCAGACCCGCGGGACAGACGCCCGCGGGACAGCACGGCCACGTGGCGACGGGGCCCCCCGCCGGCAGCGCGCCGCCCGTGCCCTCCTCGGGCCCCCCCCCCCGCGAGGAGCATCGACCAGGGCCAGGGCTTCGATCCCATCCTCCTCCTCCTCCTCCTCCTCCTCCTCCTCGTCCTCCTCCTCGTCCTCCTCCTCCTCCTCCTCCTCCTCCTCCTCCTCCTCCTCCTCCTCCTCCTCCTCCCTCTCCCTCCTCCCCGCGAGGAGCATCGACCAGGGCCAGGGCTTCGACGCGTTCATCTACTACTGGGACGACCGCGAGGGCGCCGACTTCGCGGGCTGGTGGATGGGGCCCCGGCTCGGCGGCGAGGACGTCTGGGTCCACCACCCCGGGTGGCCGGCAGACCGCTGGCCTCCCAGGAGCGGCCGGCGCGCGCAAGCCACCAGCTGCAAACAGGCATGAAACACACATAGTAATACATACATATAGACTTATGTAAAACTATGTGCATATTTATATTTATATATACATATCTATATATATATATATATATATACACGTGTGTGTATAGGCGTACCCACGAAGTTGATGTGCCTAAAACACACGCGCACACACCACACACATGACATAGATGTGCCTAACACACACACACACTCATACACCCACACACATACACACCTACACACAAACACACAAGCACACAAGCACACAAACATACACAAGCACACCCTACGGTGTGGGCGTTGGTGAAGGAATGTGCCCGAGAGGCGTCAGACCCTGGAGGAGTCCTTATCTGATGAGGGCGATGGTGATGTCCATAGCCAATCCACGATTGGAGTTCCACCGCTTCCAGACCCTGATTCCAAATCTCATGGTTCCTTATTCAATGCCCTCACCGTGTATACATATACATTTAGATCTAGAAATATATTGGATGTAGAAGTAGATTGGAAGACAGGAGCGGCTGGTGCGCGCCGCACGATGGCCCCGTCGACGCCGTCATGGTGGTCGAGACCGTGACCGCCGCAGAAGATCTGCCCATCCTGCCGGACAGGCAGGCGCCCTCCTCTGGATCCCTGCAGCGCCCGCGGGAGGCTCGAGGGAGGAAGGCACGCCCACACCGCCGCCCGTCTCCCGTCACCACGGCTGGATTCGCCTCGAAGTCCTGGAGAGGTGCGGTAAGCGGGGGGTATCGGGGAAACGTCAGACACGAGTAAGCCGGAATTCGGGCTTGCCGACGTTTTTTGACGAGCGCGTCTTGGATTTTGACGGTCCAGTTTTCGTGGGATGCTTGCAGCGGGAGCTCGCGTCAAATTTCAGATTGGGCCTCGTCATTTTTATGATGGCCCTGTCAGGCCAGCCCGAGTCCCCCGTGCCCGAGTCTTACGTCTCCCCGAGAGTAGCGATATCGGTGTCGTTCTTGTATACCCAGAGGCCACCTCCAGGACCGACGAGGCCAGGAAGGCAAGGCTTGGCAGGCTGGCTGCGCAGCTGAAGCCCCAGGCCGACGGTGCGGCGGAGCAGGTCAGGCAGGATTCCGGACGCCAGGAGCAGCTGGTGGCGCTGAAGCGCAGCCTGGACTCCGTGCACAAGGAGACCGATGAGCAGATGCGTCGCATGATGGAGCTGCAGCGGAAGATGCAGAGCCTACAGCAGAGCATGCAGGACCGCCAGAAACGGGAGGAGCAGATCCAGAGGAGGATGCGGGAGTTGGTTGTCTCCTCCAGTGTTATCGACACCTAGAGCGACGGGCTCTTCATGGCGGACTGCGGCGAATGCTTCGTGGTGCGGGCAGCGCGCCGAGGTGGCTCAGCGTCCTCCCAGGCGTCAGGAGAGGAAGCCCTGAGCGACCGTGGAGTTTTGTGAGGGTTGTGAGTTTACCAGCCCTTCCTTAGGGCAGGCGGCCCTGGTGCAGAACCAGAGGATGATGCTCTTCCTCGTGTTGCTCCCTTTCCTGATCCTGATTACCACCCCCTCCTCCTGATTCCCCCCCCTCTTCCGACGCCCCATCCTCTGCGTTTTAACTTCAAGTTTTTTTAGGAAATTGTGGGCGATATTTTTCTCTGAGCTCATGCCGCAGCATTGGTGCGCCTGGCTGCTGGTCGCTTCCCCCTTCGCCACGCCGGATTGGCATAGTTCCATTGAACACAGGAAATCATCGGTCACTGTAGAGGTGGACGGGAGGGGAGGGAGGAGGAGGACGAGGAGGAGGAGGAGGAACGCTCAGAGGAAACGCTGCAAGCGGAAGTTCTACATCATCCGTGGGTTCGGTCTCGCCCCAGATTCAGCAACACGCTGGCGATATCGTTTGATGTTTTGATGACTGGGCCAAGGGGTGCTGTAACCTGACATGCTCCTGAGCCGACAGAGACGGCGTGGGGGTGGTACCTGACCGCTGCGCGCAAGACGATGGCGAGGGCCTCAGTCCCTAGCTGATGTGTCTCCTGCTAAACTCTTGCTTGGATGAGTGATCAGATTGTTCTCGTGGTTGGGGCTTCTTTGATTGCTTGTGTCGGGCCAAAGCCCCCCCCTACCCCCCGCCATTTTCCCGCCCATCCCCAGCACCGTCCCTCCCAGGTTTCCTCCCTTCCCTTCTCCTTCCTCCTGCCCCTGCCCCGCAGCCTGCGCACCGACGGTGTTGCATGATGGCCCCCATCCAATTAGCAGATGTTATCCAATCTTGACGCTGCACGTATCCCCACCAGCCTCTCATGCCGTCTGGCCCCCTATCAGCCGAGATGTACGTGCCAGATAAATCTGCGACCGAAAACGTTAAACCTACACTGCCGAGTCAAGAATATCGGTCACACTTTGGCGCGTTCGGAAACATTTGGCGTCAGTTTTGGCCACACTTATCTAGAGTCGATGCCTAGGCGAGATGATTGGAGAAGGGTGAATCATTACGGAGCTCTCTTTGGACTCCCTTTGGGCGCCAGTGAAGTCTTCGCGGGCCTCTTTTTTGGCCCTCTGTGGTCCCTCTTGCAGCCATTCTGAAGGCCACCGGTCGTATCAACAGAAGGAGTGGCGTCGATGACGCCCAGCCAGACACATCGTCTCTTGGGGCCCTCGTGGGACGCTTGCGGGCCGCTATTCAGGACATTTTGGGCCCCCTCTTTAGCCCTCTTGAGCATATTTGGGCCATCTAGAGGCCTCAGAGACCCAGAAGACACGCAAAGGCGGTGAAGCGAACCTCGATGACAAGACAACATCTACGCGTTTTTTTTGCTGGATGCAGTGGGTGGGGGGGATGGTGGCCTCTCCAGGATATCCTTTGGATGCTCCGTGGTCGCCTCGAGCTTTCCTGTGGCTGTCTTATGGTGGCCTCTTGGAGACATGAGGGAGGTGATCTTGAAACAGCCGCGTGCCACTTCGCAGGCCGTCTTAAGCTAACTGAGGGTCACTGGGAGCCATCTTGGAGGGCCGGTGGGATTTATCCGAGGCCGCGGAGCAGACAGACGCAGTGTGACTCAGGGGCCCGATTGCTCTCGCAAAGTTTGTTGTTTGAGATCAGGCATGCGCCCAGTCCACCATCCGAGGAGGAGGAGGAGAGGAACAAATAGGAGGAGTAGGAGGAGGAGGAGGAAAAGAAGTGCGAGCACGAGGAGGAGGAGGAGGAGGAGGAGGAGAAGCGAGAGGAGGTTCGGGAGGAGGAGGGGTGACGAAGAAAGCGGGGAGGAAGAGCGAGAGAGGAGAAGACAGATTCAGCGGGCCGGTGGGAGCTCAGGGTAGCCGCCCGCCGGTGATGACCTGTGCCTATGCCAGCCCCCCCCCCTCGGGAGGGCAAGCGCCGCCCCGACGGCCGCGACCTCTCTCTCTCTCGCGACCCCCCTCCACCGTCGCCTCCGCTGTCGCCTCCGCCGTCGCCTCCGCAGTCGCATTCGCTTTCGCCTCCGCTGTCGCCTCTGCTGTCGCCTCTGCCGCCTGTCTAGATATCTGATGTCTATTTTGCCAATAAGCCCCGGTCGTTGAAAGATGGTATTTCTGAATGCCCAGATCCCAATCTATTTCAAGTGCCTTCCTACTTCAAGAGTCGATCTGTTGTTGCTGACGTTGCTTATTCTTTGGGCGGGCCCGAACCCAATCTACTTAATCTACTTGATCCGCCTTGACGGGGCCCCCGAAAGTCCCCAGTCGATCCCCAGGGCCAGATCCTCCAAAGCCGTTCTTGGGCGGCCCCGGAGCCCAGCGAGGGCCCCTGAAGGCCGAGACCTGCCCCAAACCCCCCTCCTCCTCCTCCTCCTCCTCCTCCTCCTCCTCCTCCTCCTCCTCCTCCTCCTCCTCCTCAACCTCCTCATCCTCCTCCTGCTCCTCCTCCTCCTCCTGCTGCTCCTCCTCCTCCTCCTCCTCCTCCTCCTCCTCCTCCTCCTCCTAGGTGGCGGCTCGAACGGGCACAGCTGCCCGAGAGCCCGCCCCCAGCGCCGAGGGCGCGCCCGAAGCAGAGATGTGGTGACGGCCTGCTGCGGGCGCCGATGGCCGAGCACTCGAGAGCGCCCCTGGCAGGGGAGTGGCGCCCGAGCAAGAGGCAGCGGCGCGCGTGGCGGCGGCTGCGCCTTGCAACCTGCAGACAGGTTGCACTCGACTTCGGTTTCGGTATCTGGCCGGACCTGTTCGACTGCGGGGGCATCGAATCCGCCCAACACATCGAGCAATGGTTGCAGGAGCCAGAGGTAGAGCCCGACTCCATCAGCTACAACGCTGGGATCAGGGCATTCTGTGGTGGCAGCTTCAAGAAGCATGGCGGCATGGGGAAGGCGAAGCTGGAGCCCGACATCATCGCAAGCTTTAGCACTTGGAACAGCGCGTGCGAAAAGGGAGAGCAGGAGCAAAAGCCCATACCGACACGTGGTGCGCAGTGTGAGAAATGCGATAATGGTGCAACGGGGAAGGCGAAGCCGCCGCCCAACGTCATCAGCTACACCATCAAGGGAGGTGCATGTGAAACGAGCGCGTGCGAGAAAGGCGCAATGGGGAAGGCGAAGCTAGAGACAGACATCATCGAAAGCATCAGCACTCAGAGCAGCGCGTGCGAGAAGGGAGTGCAGGAGCGGCAGTCTCTACCCACACGTGGCGAGAAGTGTGAGAAATGCGAGAATGGTGTAACGGCAGAGGCGAAGCCGAATCCAAACGTCATCAGCTACACCATCAAGAAAGGTGCTTGCGAAACGGCCAGTTTAGACGGGCAGTGGCGGCCTCAAGAAGGAGCGGACTGTGCGTGCGAGAATGGCGAGCAGTGGCAGCTTCAAGAGGATGGTGTCGGTGCGTGCGAGAAGAAAGAGCAGTGGCAGCCTCTAGTGGGAGCGAACAGTTCGTGCGAGAAGGACGGACAGTGGCAGCTACAAGAGGGAGCGGCCAGTCCGTGCGAGAAGGACGGGCAGTGGCAGCTACGAGAGGCTGTCGGTGCGTGCGAGAAGGACGGGCAGTGGCAGCCTACAGTGGGAGTGACCAGTTCGTGTGAGAAGGACGGGCAGTGGCAGCTTCAGGACGGCGCAGGCTGTACGTGCGAGAAAGACGGGCAGTGGCAGGTGCGAGAAGCTGGCGGTGAAGCGGAGCCCACACGTGCCCAGCTACAGCTCCTCGTAGCCATGGCTGGATCTGGATCTCAGCCTCCAGCGGACGGACCGCGGATGGACGGCACCAGCAGGGCCATGTGGATGGCTCGAGAAGTGATCGCATCAACGTGGCTGGCAGGAGGCAAAGGCCATGGCAACAGCACGTGCGAGAAGTGGGAGGCGACGGTCGAGCCCGATGCGATCAGCTACAGCACTGGGATCAGGGCATGCGAGAGCGCGGGGGCCCAATGGGAAGCGAAGGATGTCCTCGGCGAGTGGGGCCCCCTCCCAGAGGAAGACCAGCAGAAGCTCGAGACCCGATACCAGAAGTACAGCATCACACCTAGCAGGAAGTTCAGCCCCTTCACCCTGCTTGGCTCAAACGGCAGGCCCACGTGGCCTCTCAGGCCAGACTTCGCGAAGATGGCCCTGAAGAGCACGCAGGGCAAGAGACGCATCCCGATAAGGCGCGTGCGAGAAGAGAGCGAGAGTGAAGCGGCAGCCCAACGTGACCAGCTACAGTGCTGAGACCGGGCCGCCGTGAGAGAATGCGAGAAATGCGTGCAGAAGTTGCGAGGAGGACCTGCGCCGCCTCGCGAGGTGGAGCCAGGGAGGAGACTGCAGCGCCCTGCTCCAGACCCTCGCGAGCCTCCCTCGGTTGAACCCCGCCACGTCCCCCTGTGGGCAGGGGCCGAGGGAGGGGGAGTGCAGTGCTGCGGGGCAGCGCTGAGCCGCGCTCGCGCGCCGAGCGCGCGCCCGCGCGGTCGTGCCACGACGTGGCGGCTTGAAAGTGCTCGGAAAGAGCTCCTCCTCCTCCTGCTCCTGCTCCTCCTCCTCCTCCTCCTCCGCTTCCTCCTCCTCCTCCTCCTCCTCCTCCTCCTCCTCCTCCTCCTCTCCTGGCCTCCTCCTCCTCCTCCTCCCCCTCCACAATTATTCAATATGAATACTACTTTCCTCCTTCCCCTGATGACGGGTTGGGAGTGTTCGCCCCCCCCCCCCCCCCACCCCCCGCGTATGTTTTTTACACACAGGATTCCCCAGAGTTGGGTTTTCGCTAGCATTTTTTCAAAATGCTGCTCTCGCTGAGGCGCCGGCCTCATTTTCGGGCCCCGCTCGTTCCGAATCGTGCTCCCGCTGCAGCGCTGGCCTCATTTCCGTGCTTCCGCTCGTTCCGAATCGTGCTCCCGCTGCAGCGTTGGCCTCATTTCCGCGCTTCCGCTCGTTCCGAATCGTGCTCCCGCTGCAGCGCTGGCGTCATTTCCAGTGCCATGCCACGGCATGCAATGCAATGCTAGGTTGCGTTCCGCTGCGCGATGCCATGTCTTCAGCTGAAGCTGTGATATGCAGTGCTTAAGTGCCTCGTCGTGCTATGCCATGCTACGCTATGTTATGCAACGCCATGCTATGCAATGTTATGTTCGGGGCCGCTGTGCGATGCCATGCTTTGCGTTGCAAAGCTTTGTGATGCACTTCTTCACTACGCCACGCCACGCCATGTTGTGACATACTACGTTTTGCGGTGCTCTTCTACGCCATGCCACGCCGTGCTCTACAATGAATCGCGTACCCTTTCGGGATCATTGCCTTGCTCGACATCCGACTGTGCGAGTAG